CAAAGACATCCTGCACCTTGAGAGTATTATTGACCGATTAGATTTGTACGTTCGTATTAAGTGCAAGTATTTCTATTTCCCGATGTTTTGTGATCATGACTACAGCAAAAGTCGCTTCCTGGCCGAAAGAACTTTCTCATCGATGCCTATTTCCAGTAGGTATGAACGCGGGATTGTTTTGAATCGCAGGGTACTTAAGCCACAATTTGGGGTGATTTTGCTGCCACAGAAAACCGCACTTAACATATTAGGTTATAGGTTCGTAAAGTCGCGGCTTTCATATGATATTGTTGAGACTGCCATCCACGCATCTGTAGATGTTGGGATCTGCAAGGTAGATAATTACTCATCTTAGAGTTCACTAACACCACATTTTTACCTTAAGGCATCGTATTTTTTGTTAATAAACCCAAGTTTTTTTTAACTGGATCTCCTGACAGATTTAAGGAATCCATCTGATCGATATGCCCACTTTATTAGCGAAAAGCTCACTGACCATCTTTTACCGCCATCAAATGTGACGCTCACCATAACCATTTACACGGAAAAAGGGGAATCAGATAAAGGCATCTGTAGACTATGATGCTAATTTTTCCTCTTTATTTGAGTCTCATTATACAAAAATATTGAATGTATGCGGGCATTTACCATTATCAAGCTCACTAACATGCACACATTGGTGTCAGCAGCCATGAAAAATCGGAGCATTTTTCCAAATGGGAGTGTGCGTGTGAGAAGGAGAGGATGCATAAGCTGAGTAAGGAAGCTAGAAGTCGAATGTGTCGGACAACAAAATCCGAATTGTGGCGGGATGTCAGAGGTCAATCTGCGTCTTAGACTTCTGTGGAGAAAGGCTTGCAATGTTTGACAATATAACACATTCTGGCAACGCTGCAAATGGCAGTGTGTTGGAATTTGTGAGCTGCTTCAATTCTGTTGCCTGGTCAAGCGACGTTCTTGGTCCTCTAGCTATTCTCTGGGGGGGCTGAGTTATCGCGTTCAAAAAACTTGGTCTAATTAGCGTGCCATCCTTCCTAGTCGGAGCTACTTTCTCCTCATCCGCTTCATCTCTTTCATTGTATCCAGGATACAAATGTATTTCAGGCATCTCGCCAGTAGTTTTTCGCAATGGGATGCCTAAAGGATTATAATGAGAGGTGTAAGCTGAGTGAGAGCGTTCTTGATGGGACCTTGAGGAGTCTCGTGTTACTGATCCCGACAACTCGTATTCATTGCCCTCACGACTGTGTTTTTTCTTGGGGCTAAAGAGACCACCTCCGGAAGTGGAACTGCAGATGCTGGGAGTCTTACAGAGAGGGCAAGAAGAGGCAGTTGTGAAACTTGGCTTCTCTTCAGTTTCTGTTTCTCTGTGGTAGAAATAATTAAAGTTTGATACAATAACAGGGACAGGAAGAGCGATGGTCAGAACACCAGCAATCGCGCATAACGAACCAACTAGTTTGCCGCCCACGGTTACTGGCCGCATGTCTCCATATCCGACAGTTGTCATTGTAACAACAGCCCACCAAAATGCATCGGGTATGGAGCGGAAAAAGGTCTTCTCTGCGTCTATCTCAGCAAAGTATACAGCAGAAGAGAAGAGGATGACAGAAATAAGAAGAAAAAATACCAGGAGACCCAGCTCCCGGATACTAGCTTTGAGAGTTTGACCAAGAATTTGGAGACCTTTTGAATGGCGAGAAAGTTTGAATATGCGAAACACGCGGACCAGCCGAATGACTCGCAGAATCGCCAGCGACATGGCCTGGTTTTGGCGTTTGGAATCGTCCGCTATGACTGTGCCCAGGGTGATGAAATAAGGAATAATCGCCACAATGTCAATAAAGTTCATTATATTTTTAAAGAATTCCACCTTTAGAGGGCAGGAAGCAAATCGAACCATCAACTCAAAAGTGAACCATATTATGCAGACAGTTTCGATAATGAAAAATGGCTCGGCAAGATGAGGTATATCGTCTTCAACTATTATCACATTGTAAAACAAATCATCCCACTGTGTTTGTGTACTCATCGAGGTGTCACGAACTGATCTGAGAAAAACAGAACTCGAATCAAAAGTAGCATTCTCATTGGGGTCAAGCTGATTTGGATGTTTTGCCAAATTCATGGCCAATTGGTGCTTGGAAGTCCTATTGGCTATTCGATAATGTTTAAAATGAGGCAATGTTTCTATACAAAAGATGACGATTGACAAAATTATCACGAGGATTGAACAAATCGCAACACATCTCGCGGCAAGGGAGCTTTCTGGATATTCAAAAAGAAGCCACACCTTTCGTTGAAATTCGTTCTCCGGTAGCAGCTTTACGTCCTCCTTAATGAATCCTTCATCATCACGATACTTTTCGATTGCGTCATTGTCAAGCTCGTAGAAACTTATCTCCTCTGTGAAAACATCTATTGGCACATTGACTGGTCTCCGAAGTCTTCCACCAGACTGATAATAATAGAGAATTGCATCAAAGCTCGGTCGGTTGCGATCAAAAAAGTATTCGTTCCTGAGTGGGTCATAATATCTGTTTCTTTTATTCGGGTTGCCCAGCAGAGTATTGGGAAAGCGGTTGAGTGTCTTAAGTTGTGTTTCAAATTTCAAACCAGACACATTCAAAACGACGCGCTCCTCGTCAGCACGCCGACGCTCGCAAAAGCCACTTTTATACTTAGACTTGTGGCAGTCGTCTCTATTAACTGCAGGAAAAAGCTCACCTTCGGGATAGGAATCAAGATTTTGAAGAATGGGTTGCCTTTCAACAATTCTTTTTGTAGTTAGTGTTGTAGGTTCCGTAGGTTCATCTGGCTGATTATCTCTGGAAACTGACGAATGCCTGGCAATGGAAGTCGAACAAACAAGGGGATTGTTTTGAGTTATTCCAAATTGCTCACTGGCGATAGCTGCTCCTTCAAAGCCAATCTCAGAGGTTTGGCTGTCACAGACTGCGGCAGTTGGAACGTTACTAACGCCGCCACTTGTGGACTCTGCTAACTTCGAGACGGTAGCAGAAGCGATGGTTGTGGATGGAGCACCGAAGGTCACGTGAGCTCCAGAAGAGGTAGTTGCATTGGCATGGTAACTGCCACTGGGCAGGCCTGTCCCACCGATTCCGGTTGCTCCTGGCTGGTTGCTATAGGCTCGTACACTAAATTGTCTGCGTTGCAAAGAAAGCATATTTTAGATGTACATAATCTTACACACATAAAACAAGCCTTAATTTAACCTTTACGATATTGCACGGTTGTTTTCTTAATCAAATGTGTTACAATAATAGTAAAGTAAGCACCATGGTCGTTATTTATCCACTACTGTTGAAATTGGTCCACGGAGTTTCAAAACACGGCACTGTTGATGAAAAGTAAACTACGCCACTAAATGCGTAAGAAGGAGGCGAATTTCGAAGGCAAAATAAGAGCCTGATCTAAGTGTCTGTTTAGCTTTGCTTAGGCATGAAGACCACTAATACCGCAATACGACAGAGCACTTAATCAGCAAACTTTTCTCAAATCACGTGGAACTCTTAGTGAAGTTCTGACTCTTCTCACAGCCATTTCTAACTTCTTCCTTTCAGCACGAAACCTATAGCGCAGTAATAATTTAATAAATGGCTAAAACAGAGGCCACGCTTCAGGTCGTAATAGGCCTCTTTATTAATGGTGCTTAATTCGAAATTTTAGTTGCTTTGCTGAACACTTCAACTTTCTAAAGTAGCAAAAAAATTTAGTTACCTTTTTTTAAAAATAAATGCTTGTTTAGATGAGGTCAGAAAATTTTTCCATCAGGCTTTTCTAACCTTTTTAAATGCCTAATTCACTGCCTGTACTTGCCTTAATTTTATTCTAAAGAGAATTCTTTTTTCAATGCAGTATAAATTTAGGAGCCTACATAAAAGCAGAGAGCTCATGTGCAAATTTTAATTGGCCCAAAAGGTTTAAATGCTGCTGATGACAATAAACATGACCTAGTTTCACACGTTTTAAGCATGTTTGTACAAATAAATGAAATGACATTTACTCTAGACAAGTTAGTTAAATTTCAGCAGACTTTGCTTTGCACAAGTGCCAAAAAAGTGACATTATCCGGTGTAGTCAATTAAACTGAATGCTACATAAGTGAACAAGTTATAGAAGCCAATGCATGCAGAATGCGTTTGCAATATTATTCTACCTACAACAGCACGGATTTGATAGAAAGCCCTATGAATGTTCCTCCAACTAGGCTCGGTTAATTCAGTTAGTGTGAAATTTAAAATCTAATGTAGAGGAAACTTGGTGCGATTAAATGACCACAGAATCTAACTCATTTAAAGGTTTTTTATTGCTTTCGCGATCTAACAAGTTAACAAGTTAGTTTACAAACCGTAAAGTTGGACTTCGGTTGCACACCAAACAGCAATCTGTGATTACAACTTAAAATCTGCGAGCATCTATTATGCGTTTACTACGGTCTACGCCTAATAACCCACTAAAATAATTTAACAACTTTTTCAGCATTGAAAAGCCAAAATGATGAAACAGGAATTCTTGATAGGGGCTGCCAGCTAGTTATTTGTAGGATCCAGAACAAGGAAAAAATTATGAAAAGAAAATGGCACCATTTTGTCTTCTAAACGCCCACACACCACATCAAAGACAAAAGTTACCAGGTTTTACAATTATGAAGGTGCAGTACGGAACAATAAAACTGGCAGTGCATTCGTAATTTGCTTAAGAAAATTAAATTCAAAGTGCTAACACATGGAGTGAACTTTGAAGTTGTATGTTGAAAGTGCCCGTAGGATTTGGCGAACTAGGTGGAATTGGGGCGCAGTTAAATCACGTAATTAGCCCGACCACCTCTGCTAACAAAGATTTGTCGGTGTCTCAGGCTAGAGAACAAGGGTGTGGGCTAAAACGATGGCACCGAGCAGTCCCCAGAGCCATTTCTCACCAGAAGCTGACGCTCAGGTATTGAAAGCATACTCTGAAACATGTGGTGCTTCAGTGTTAGCAAAATAAAAACATACGTAGCCACATCACTGACAAAAGAGACCACAGGTAGCATATTACAAAGTTTTATTATAATGAAACTGGTGATTATTTAACACTTGCATCTCAGAAGAATTCAAAACACTGACAATAACAAATTGGAGTTTTTATTGCTAATGTTACCTGTTTGGCTAGCATGAATTGTGAGTGTAGTCTGCGATAAGACCCATCAACGTGATGAGTGTAAGGCACTATTCCTATAATACAAAGCTAGGGTGTAAATGCTGGCTTGATGTATTTCACAAGGAGGAGGTATATGACTAATGCTAAGAGTTTTTCCAAAAATGCTGCGCTGTAGTCGATGAAAGTCAGTAGCATTAAGTCAGATCAATGCTTGGTTCAACTTGACTCTGAGCGCCTTATTCCCACAACGACTTAACTAATATGATCTGAGTGATTTATTAGCAGGAAAAAAGACTGTGGCCAGCAGCAAGCGAGCACTAAACAAGCAGTCGTGAGCGAACGCACTAAACAAGCGTGAGCGAACACAATTAAATTGATTTTCGTGAATTCACTTCACGCAACTCCGTTCGCTCAGAGTTCGATGCTTAGTGAAGCTATACAAACGCACCTGGTATCCTGTACAAAACAAACCCCGCTACTGAATCAATAAATTGGTTCAGCTACACGCCACCTGCCTCTCCATTCTCCTTTCTGTCGGGGCCGTGTCAACGTAGAATGTCAGCCCTGGCGTGGTTTCCGAACACCGCACCGGGGCCTACTACAAAACTTATGTCACCTAAATTTGTTACTGAGTATGTAACACTAGAATTCATTTGCGTAAATTTTAACGGTACATTAAAAATGCATAGAGCAGGGTGAGGGAATAAACGGCAGCAAAATGCATCACTGGAAGGAGCTTTGACGCATTTCACTCAATTGAAAATTCATGGTTTGACTTACACGACATTTTTAAGGATACCACCAGAATCATGCTTTGAGGCATCAAGAAACTATTT